GGGGGGGGGAGGTGATGGCAAGGCTGGGGCGCACCCTGCCTTTCTGGGGGCTGGAGGGGTGAGTGGTGCCACCCCCCAGAGCCAGGCTGGGGCTTTTGGGGATGGGGCAGATGCTGGCCTGCCCTGGGGAGTGTGGTAGGATCTGCGCCTGCAGGGGAGGTCAGCTTAGGGGTCCTGGAACCCTGTGCCAATGCCCCAGCTGGACCCCAGGTCCTGGGCCTGCTGCAGCCTCCCAGGAGGTACCAGTGCCTGCCAAGACCCTGCCCGGCCCTGGGCATGCTCGGGGAGCAATGCTGCTGGTGCTGCTTGGCCCCCTGCCCTACGGCAGGGAGGGTAGACAACCAGGACAGTGGTCCCAGACCCAGTACTGCCCCAGCTCCTTTCTCCCTCCACCACGGCACCTGGGAGCAGAGGAGGCAACCCCCCCCAATCCCAAGGGCTGTGCATCCCAAGCAAAAGCCTTTTCCTGAGCCCCACAGCAGCTCAGGGGGGGCGAGGAGTGGGTACTGGCAGTGCAAAGGGCAGCTGTGGTTTGCTAAGCATAGCCCTCAGCCCCCCCCCGCCCCCCGCACCACTGCAGCCCGTGCTGCTCCCCACGCACAGACCACACACGTTACACAGGTTTACAAAGCACATTGGTTGAAGGAAACTGAACTCAGTGAAAAGATAAATCCAACCACGCGGCACATCTGAAAAAAATAAATTACTTTCAAAATACCATCATTTGCTCAAGTTGAACAGGGTTTACCTTCCTTTAAATACACTGCTCACTACAGCTGCTCTATACCCAGAGCTGCTGCTTCCTCTGAGCTTTGCCATTAGTTTGTAAGAAAATATTCTGTTTTGTATGTGCCCCGTGGCCTCGCGCAGGTTGCCACAGCTTTGCCCATGCCAGCTCGCAGCTGGTGCCAAAGCAAGTGGGACAGCTCTTGCCTGTCTGGGAGACAGGGAAGAGCAAGAAATGCAAACCCACCTCCTCCCGTGGGCAGAGGGGCTTCTGCCCCACAGGGCGCTGGGAGGGGGGAGCAGGGGGCCAGCTGGGCTGCAGCCCCAGCACAGCCATGGGGGAGGACCCAGGAGGTAGAATAATTAGTAATGCTCATCATCTTCTGGGATGTGCCTTCCCCTGCCTGCAGCTTCAAGTACACTGGACACTGAAGTACAGGCAAGGGTGAAGACAGAGGCAAGGTCCCGGCTTGCCACCGTGTGGTGGGGCAGGCAGGCAGGCAGAAGCAGAGCGAAGGGAGGTCAGCAGTGGGCAAGAGAGCTGCAGACAGCTGGTGCACAGCCCGGTGCTCCCTCTGGGGGTGGTGGGGAAGGACTGCAGTGAAGGAGAGAGCTCCACTGGGGCTCTGCAAGGGTCAGGCAGCAGCTTGCAGCTGAGCCCTTGCTGCACCAGTTCGGTGTGCCTGTGGCAGGCAGCGACCGCTGCCCTGTGCCACCTCCAGCCTCTGCTCCTGCCTTCGCCCTGGCAAAGGTTTTTTGACATCCCTGTTTTCTCCTTCACCAAGCTCAACTGGAGCCCCCCCTTCTCCAGGGGTGGTGGTGCAGGTCTGGTTGGGTGCCACAGCCTGCCGGCAGCAGCTCCTCTTACCACGCAAAGTCCATACAGGCCCCTGGCAGCCTCCTCCAGCCTCGGCTACAACATGTTGTAGTACGCCATCTCCTTCATGGCCTGCTCGGTCAGGGCATGCTCATCTGGAGGGTTGCCCACCCCCCCGTAGCCATAAGAGTTCTCCTCCTCGAAGTCATCCATCTCCTGCTGCCCGTCCAGCTCAGCATGGTCAGCCCCGGCCAGGTCCATCATGGGATCTAGGATTTAGCACAGGGACACCTGATGATAGACCTGCATGAAGGTCCAAGGGCCAACAGCACCCATCCTCCCTGGGCAGCTCAGGTTTAGAGCCCAAAGCTCCCCAGAAGCTACAGCTCTGCTCAAGACAGGCCACTTGTGGGGGGCTCTCACCCCAGAGGATCCCCAGCCACACACCACAGCAGGGATGGGTTGCCAGCAGAGCGCTGCCAGAGCAGGAAGCTGCCATTCGTGTGCTCACCCCTGACCAGTGCCTGTGCCACACGCAGGGGTCTGCGGCATCCATCCCACCACAGGGGAGGTGAGGAAGGCAGCGCAGGAAAGGCATCCTCCCAGCGCTGTCCCTGCACTTGCACTCCCTGCCTGCATCACGGTGCTAGATGCTGGCTGAGTCTTGGCTGGGCTGGGAGTTGTCCAAGGTGAGGAGGAAGAGAAAAGGGCAGGAACGGGGGATCCTGCTGGGTCCCCCAGCATGCGTTCAAAGTGGGTGTTGAACTGCTGGGCAACCCGAGGGGATGAAACAGCCAGAGCTTGTCTCCAGCTCTGTCTGTACAAAGCAGGGGTGGTCCTGCCATAAGACTGCTGATGGAGCATCTGTACTGATGCTGTGCAGAAACCTGCAGCAGGAACATCTCCCATCCCCGCAGGGTGCCTTTGGGCAGGTGCAGAAGGGGCAGCAGGGGCAAAAACAGTGAGATTTACCCCTCCCACCCTGCAAAACCCTTTGACCAAGCTCACAGTCACCACATCACCAGAGGGCACTGTCCTCTCCAGAGAAGCCAAAGCCTCAATGGCTCCTTGAGGAGCTGTTTATTTTAACTTTTTTTTTTTAAAATGAAGTTTATTTATTTGTATTTGTACTAAGTTTATTAAGCTTATTCCAGCTCCTGCTTGGTACCTTTCCATGGAGGGCACGTGCTTGGCTGGGGAGACAGCATTGTCACCACGGGGCACTGGCAAGACAAGCAAGCCAAGGGCAGCCCTCAGGCTACAAGACGTGAGCTTGCTGAAAGGTGCTTGCTGGAGCCGCCGTGGCATGGCCCAGCTCCCGAAGCAAAGAGCTGAGAGCTGGGTGCTCCCAGGGGTGGCCACAGCAGGGAAGACCACAGTGCCCAGTCTGCAATGGGCAGCACCAGGTACTGGCCACAGCCTGCACCTACCTTGGCTGTCCAGGCTGATGTCCATCACCCCGTGCTTGACCTTCATGTGCCGGCTCAGGTTGCCCTTCAGGTTGAACTTGCTGGAGCAGTAGGGACACTTGAAGGGCTTGCTCCCTGCGTGCAGGTGCATGTGGCCCAGCAGGTTGTACATGCGGTTGAAGGACTTCCCGCAGACCTGTAGGCAGCGTTCCTGGAGTCAGCAAGGGCTCTCCCGCTGCCACCCCCAGCAAAGGGTCACAGTGGCAGGTGCTCGCCTGCGATGGCCAGTGCTGCCACAGGGACATGTGCTTTTCAGAGCAGACCTTGCTTCTGGGGTCCCCCATTGCTCCCACCAACTTCTAAGAGTAATGGGGCCGTTTCCCTCCTCCCTGGCTGCAGTGGGAGGCCTCAGGGATGCTGTGCTGGTATTGCTGGGAACTCCAGCAGATCTAGTGCTGGTCAGAGAGAGGTACTAATTGTCCTTCCCTGTTAGCGGTGCCCACACCCTGCCCACAGCAGCTGCTCTCTGCTGCGCAGCTCTGAGCAGACGCGTCAGGATGAGCTGTTTGCCCAAGCGAACAGAGGGAGGCATCACAAAACTGCTTTCCTGTGACTGAGGGCTCAACCCAGCCTGGCTGGGTTTCTCCTGAGTGCAGCACACCAGGGCCTGAGCTAACCACCCCAGATCTGCTAACCTCCCTGGACCCCCGACAGTACCTTGCATTTGAATGGCTTCACCGGTGAGTGCACAATCATGTGGGTCTTGAGCGTCTGCTTCTGCACAAACGTTTTGAAGCAGATGTGGCACTGGTAGGGACGGACGCTGGTGTGGATCAGCATGTGCCGCTTCATGTTGGCCTGCAGGGTGAACTCCCGCCCGCACACCTCGCACTTGAACTCCTTCACGCCCTGCAAGGGGTTCGGAGAGCTGTGACCATGGGGCAGAGCCAAGACCTGGGCGCAGAGCGGCAGCAGGCAGAGCTCTGCCTGCAGCGGTGGGGGCCAGCGCACAGAGGTGCCGGGTGGCTTTGGGGTTTCTGACCAGACCCCGCAGGAGCTGGGGGCACAAGAGTGGTGCCCGGCATGGTGCAGAACAGGGACCTGCGCTCCCCAAGGGGCATGGGAGAGGGTCCTCGCACCAAACTGAGCTTCAGGGACTGTCAGCAGGCTGGAGTGTAGGAACTGGGCGGGGGGAGATTTACTCTCATCTCGTCTCACCTTCCTGAGAGTCTCCTGCTCCACTCTCCCTGCCCCTCCTGCAAACACACAGCAGGCACTACAGAGAGCCTGTGCCATCCCCACACTGCCCCAGGGGGCAATTCCCCCTGCATGGTCCTGCAGCAGGCAGGATCCTGCCTCACTCCCAGATACCATCGTCTCACCCGCCCTGGAAATGCATTTGCAGCACTTGGAAAAACCAGTATTAGGTCAGTGCTGCTGGAGTGAGAGCAGCTTTGCAAAGTGATGTCTATGGGAAGGAGCTGGCTGGGGACCGTGGCCACCATACAGCGGCCGACCCGGCACAGGTACATTTGAGAGCCCTGCCCAAGCCTGGCAGCATGCAGGAGGTGGGCTGTGGGGAGCATGGCTGGATGGGCTCTGTGAGCCCAGCTGTGAGATCCAGCTCTGCTCCCTGGCTCAGGCCAGTTGCTTCCCCTTGAAATAACCCCTGGAAAAGAGCAAACCCCTCACTCACAGCCCGCTGGGAGGGGCTGCGGCAGGTCTCCTAAGTCACCCTGCCACAGAACCCGCAGTAGGTCTGAAACCTCCCTCCCTGAGGATGGAGACCCCCAGGAAGAAAGGAGGCCCTGCTCATAACGATGCGCTTTCGCTGCTAAGCAATGACCCCTAGCAAATGCCAACCACGGGCACCGCTGCCCACCCACACCACCCATTTCCCAGGGCTGGCCAGGAGTCTGGGGCACTGGGACACCCCTCTGCCCCAGCACCCACATCCAGAACTGGCACACCTCCTCTGGGCATGGCAAGGGCAGCACCCCTCAGGTGCCCGACGTGCCCCAGCCCCTACCTTGTGCGTGAGGGAGTGCTGCTTGAGGTGGTGGATCTGGCTGAACTCCATCCCGCACTCAGTGCAGACGAAGGGCCGGACGTTCTGGTGCTTCAGCATGTGGTTCTGCAGCTGGCTGCGGTAGTGGAAGGACTTGCTGCACTCCAGGCACTGGTACAGCGTGGGGCCCTGGTGCGTGGAGAGGTGCCGCTTCAGCTGGGTGAGCGTGGAGAAGTCCAGCCCACACTCCACGCAGACATGGCAGCGGCCGCTCTCGTGCTTCACCTCGTGCGCCTTCAGCTCACTGGGGTAGGCGAAGCCCCGGCCGCAGAAGCGGCAACTGTAGGGCTTGATGTCGGTGTGCAGCAGCATGTGCCGCTTCAGGTGGCTGGTCTGGGTGAAGGCCTTACTGCACACCTCGCACTTGTGGGGCCGCGTGCCCTGGTGGGTCAGCAGGTGGGTCTGCAGGTGGCTGGGCTGCTTGAAGAGCTTGTTGCAGTGCGGACAGGAGTGGGGCTTGATGCCATTGTGGCCCAGTATGTGGGTCACCAGGTTGTACTTGGAGGTGTAGGACTTCTCACACATGCGGCACTGCCAGCGCTTCTGGCGGTCCCCTGCCTCCACCAGGTAGGAGTCATCGATCTGCACGTTGATGTCCAGCCGGTCCAGCTGCGCCTTCTTGTTGCGCTCGCTGGTGGCACCCGCCGCCTCTGCATCCAGCTCCCCCGGCTCCTGCCAGGTGAAGCCCTGCTCGCTCTTCACCTGCTCAGGGGACGCTGGTGCAGGGGCCTCTGCCTCTCCAGGGGACGGGGCGCCCGCCTCAAAGGCGCATTCGGTCCGCAGGGTCCCCACGGTGCCACCATCCGCTGCACCGGCAGGGTCAGGGCCCCCGAGGCGGCACTCGGTGGCCTCCAGCTCCTGGCGCACGTGCCGGCGCAGGTGCCGCAGGCGCCGGGGCTTCCTGCTGAAGGCACCGAGGTCGATCATCTTCATGGCACTGCTCTGCACCGTCTGCTCCTGGCTGGGGTCCTGGAGGGGGGGCAGGTGTCTGTGCTGCCGCTCACCCTCCTTGTCCCCAGGGACGGACACTTCGTACAGCACCTCATCCTCCACCTCTGCCTTCTCGCACTTGACCTTGGGCACCAGCCTCACAGGAGGCCGCTTCCTCCTCCGGGCGTGCTTCTCCAGGGAGGACTCTGCCTCCAAGGCATCCTCCTCCTGCCCATCCCCTGGTGCCTGCCCCTCGCCCTCCGGCTCCCCGGGCTCCACCGCAGCAGGGTCCGGCAGCTTCCCTCCCAGCCCTGGGAAGAAGCCGGAGGGACTGACAGTGGCCCCAAGCAGCTCATTCTCAGACACCAAGCCCAGAACCGCAGCCTGCGCCAGGGACAGCACCACCACTGCGTCCGTCTGGGTCCCGCACTCAGTGAAGCGATCCATCTCTCGCCGCCTGCCTACGCTGTCATGGCTGGGGAGGGAGAGAGACAGCCATTAGCCCTCCCGGTGTGCCTGCCACCACACAGCCACCAGGGATGCTGCTCTGTGAGGGGCTCATTCCAGCCATCACCCCTTTCCTTATCTCCATCCCCAGCAAACCCCAGAATGACGCAGGCGTTGCCAGTGTGGGTCCCTGGCACCACACACCCCAGGACACAGGGGCAGCATGGCCTCAGGGGTCTCAGCTGCAGGGGCAGACCATGGAGCCAGGCTGTGGAGGGGAAGTTTGACTCTGTGTCCACTGTCAGCCTTTCTGGCCAGGCTATCGAACCCCAAGGCTGAGGTCTGGCTCCTCGTGTGTCCCAGAGCTCCCTGGCAGCAATTCCTGGGGACAGCCACCTGTGCAGTTTGGGGACCAGTCAAGAAAGGTGAACATGCTGCTCTATTCTGTGCTCCTTGCAAGCAGCGAGAAGCAACAATGAAGGGCACAAGGAGCTCAAGGAACCAAAGCCCAAACCCTCCTCGTTGGGAGCATCTGGAGAGCAGTCAAGCTGCCAGGCTCACAAGCCCAAGTGAAGTGTGTGTCAGAGGCTCTGCTTGGCTCAGTGCCTTTGGTACACTCACCTGTGGGGGTCCGAGCATCACTGCAGCACAGGAGGCTGCCTGGCGTCTGAGCGTGCTGGTCTGAGGGCAGGCTGTGCTGGTACCCCCAGAACCCCCTCACTGCTCTGACCTGCCCTGCCCCACGACAGCCAGGCTCCAGCTTCACCTTCCCTGCCTGGCCCATCCCTCTCACCTCACAGCTGCCTCTCATCACCATGGCAAGCACCTCCTCTCCCCTTTGCTTTTATTAATGCCTTTCAGTAGCACTCTTGTCCCAGCAATAAGCACGCCAGGTTCCAGCAGTATTTCTTCAGGTTTTATAAGTGGTTTGTTTCCATTTTTCCAGCCTCCCTCCTGCTGCAGCACTACTGACCGGCACAGCCTGCTTACACAGCTACGAAGTCACTTGTCAGAAGAGGGCTACAGAGTCAGTTAAAATCCCTGTAAAAGCCACAGTTCTCCAAGGCCCCAGTGCAAACACAGACAAGCAGCAGGCAATACCCCCCCAGGTTGCAAAGGTTTAAGAGTCTTCTCCCTCCCCCATTGCCCCCTATCTCTGAGGTGGCCCCCAAGTGTTCATGCCCTCATCAGCTCTGGGGTGGCAGGCACCACGTGCCCAAGTTACACTGGGAAGAGGCACAGGACATGGACATGGTCAGAGCAGGACTGACCCAACACCAGTGCACCCTGGGGCACACGGCAAATGGACCACAACAGGTTTATCACCGCTCAGAGACACATCCCCACCACTCTCCAGGAGGGCTCACGACAGGGTTCTGCAGGACTCCAGTTCCAACATTGTGCTATTTAACTACCCATCCATTTTCAGGAAAAAAGTCAGATAACTGCTCAGGGATGACACACGCAGTGATACTCATTTGTGCAAGGAGGAGCATATTACCACGGGACTGACCAGCAGGACAGCCCGCCTGGGCATGCTGGCACCACAAGATCCCCTGAGCAAGTCACCCTGATAGAAATGAAGGGAGACCACAAGGAGAGAGACGAGGGCGTGGACATGGCTCCAGGGTGCGAGGCAGCAGCCTGGACCTATGAGTGATGTAGAGCCTCCAGCACCCAGGTGGGCAACCTGCAGGAGCGTGCCAGAGCCCGCCGGAGTGGTGGCGCAAGAGGAGCTGCTCCAGCACTGCTGTTCGCTGCATCTGATGCTGGTGACGGCTGGGGGAAAGGCGATGGTGGAGCTTACATGGGAGTAGCGCAAGGTGCCAGTCAGTTTGGGAAATATTGACTTGAAAGGTCAGGTAGACACCAACCAGCTTTGACTAGAAGGACAAATGACCTTTGGTGGAGAAGCAAGGAGCAGTAAGCAAGCACAGGGGACCACACTGGGAGATCACAGCAATGGCATGGTATCACCACTGGGTACATGTGGGACCACAGCAAACTCACAGGGTTGCAGTTTCAGCAGCAAAAGTCAAAAGACAAATGAGCAGAAAACTCCACTTTTGCATCATGCCTACAGGCAGTCACCACCAGCCTCACCCAGCAGCTGCTGGGCCACCAGTGCTGGGTCTGTGGCAGTGCCAGGCACAGAGCACCCCGGGGACAGCAGCTCTGCTCCTGAGCCTGAGACAAACCAGGAGCTCTCTGTGCTCTGGTGGTCTCTGGGGTCCCACCAGCCTGGAGAGCAGAGCATAGGGCACATCCCCACTGAAATGATGTGACTGGCATAGGAACAGCCGCAGGGAGGGACAAGGCCCTTCTGAAGATCCGGCATTCCTCACCAGGCAGACAGAGCCTGCACCTGCCCCACCAGCACCAGCCCTTTTAGGAGAATTCAGGGGCAGCTGGCCAGCAATCTGAGGAATTGCTGCCATAAACAACCTGGCAATCTGGGATAGCAAAGCACGGAGGAGCTGCTGCACCGAGAAGAGTGGGGCAGACACCACTGTGCTTTGGGGATGCAGTTTTGCCATCCATCCCCAGATCCCTCCGGTTGGTGACCACAGGTTCCTTGGCAATTCAGACTGGAAAACAGGGAGGGGAGACCATCAGACAAAGCAAAACAGAGCAAAATGAGAAGCAGGCAAGATGTAAAGGCACAGGCAGGTCTGCCAGCAGAGCAGCCCGCCAGTAGGCTGGGGAAAGACACACCGGCTGCCAAAACACTCCCTTCAGCTGGAGGGTCGTTCATGTGTTTTGTTTTGCAAGTATTAAATCAACACTTTGAGAACGTGCTCATGCTCAGCTTGCTCGTGCTCAGGGGTCCGACAGCCCTGTACCCACCCCTGAGAGGAAGGGTCAGGGTCCTGGAGGGAGGCAGAGCCCTGAGCAGCAGTGCCCAACTCCCTCGGGCCAAGCCAGCCCAGGACCCCCATCAATGGGGTGCAGCCCAGGGCCCCCAGCAGCCCTGGGGCAGCTGGCAAGGATGGGCAAGGAAGTGCTTGGAGAGCTGCCACCAGATGAAAGCAAGGAGGCTGCTGCTTCCTCCTGTGGTGAAGAACATTCTCCTAAATACAATTACTTCTGCAGCTACAACAAAGAGAAATCCTATGGGGGAGGTAAAACAGGAATAAACTCTAAACCAGATTATGTTGCAGTCCCAGGAGCACCTGCATGGCGTGAGAGGCAACCGTGGGCTAAAGGACCACTCTCTGCGTGGAGAAACCTCGCTTTACCAGCTTATCATCCGCACGGTTCTCACTGTGGCACCCACAAAGCCTCCATGCTGTGTCCCACAAGCAGCTTGCCAGCCAGGCCAGTTACAGGCTGCAAGGATGAGGTGTGCTGGCCAGAGCACACTGGCCTCTCCACTGCAAACACACCACTGCAGGCAAAGCCACCAGCAGCTGCCTGCTCTTGCTGGTTCCTGCACGTGCTCTCACACCAGCTCTATGCCCACCGAAACACCAGGTCACAGCACACACATCCCTCTGGGGAAAGGGAAGTGATGGGGAGGGGGAAAAGAACCGGCACAAAAACAGGAAGAGCCAGAGAAGGGGAGAGACACCGACTGCGCGGGGTTGGCTGCCCGGGGGCTCAGGCTGCACAGGCTGCTCAGCCTCCCGTGCCCTGGATCCAGCCACAGGATCGGGCACCCTCAACCCAAGGTCTGATGCTCCCGGCGAGGGGACCCTCCCGAGGCTGAGTGTGCGACCTGCCAGCATGGCCAGGGAACAGGAGATGCTCGGGGGAGGGGGGGGAGGAAGTGGGCCCTGGTGCCTGCGTGGACACTTCTGTCCCCAGCCCTCTGTGCCCGAGCTCCAACCGCCTCTGCCCTGGCATGGCAGCCGGGCCCTTCGCCAGCGGCTCCAGCACCCTCTGACTGCTCCCCTCACCCGGGCAGGGGAAAGGGCCCAGCTGAGCATCCCTGCCTGCATGGGCATCCCTTCCCCATGGCAGCCAGGAGGGAGACGGGCTGTGCAGAGCCAGCGGCCAGAGAGCAGGATCTGGGGGGGCTGCCGGCCAGAAATGGAGGGGAGACCAGGCAAGGGGGGCGGCCTCAGCCCCCTCGGACTTCCAGCCCCCGGCACGGAGCCGGGGAGAAACCCTGCGGAACCGGGCAGCGAGGAGATGGAGAAGAGGAGGACTGGGGGGAGGAGGAGGAAGAGGATGGAGGGAGGAGGATGGGGAGGAGAGGGGGGAGGGGGAGTGCGGAGGCAGCGAAACAAAGCGAGGAGCGGGGAAGGGCGGTGGCAGGAGGAGGAGGAGGAGGGGTGGAAGGAAGGATGGGGAGGAAGACGAGGAGGAAGAGGAGGGAGCAGCCGGGCAGGCGGCAGCCGGCGCGCACAGCCCGACCCCGGGGCCCCCCCGGCCGGCCGGACCCCCGCCCCGGGACCGAGACTCCCGGAGGGTCCGGGCTGACCATCGCCCGGGCAGCCGCGGTGCGAGGGCGCGCTGTTGTTGTTCTCATCCTCCTCCTCGTCCCGGGGGGGGGCCCTGCCTCGGCTCACCACTCCCTGTCCCCGCCAGGGAAAACAACCCGAGGCAAGCACCCCCACACAGACACCCCCGCCAGCTCGCAAGGGCTGGAGCAAGTCCCACTTTCCCGCTCAAACTTCCCCAACCGTCAGCGGGCCCGTCCATCACCACTGAGCACCCACCCTGGCCCGTGTTGTGAGCCGGGTCCCAAGCGGACACTGGCCAGAGGCTTGGGTGACAGGCAGCGCAAGGCCAGGGCTCTGGGGTGGCCGGAGGCGAGCGGCAGCTTCCCGGAAGGAGCGTGCGAGCAGTGCCGCTGCCTTGGCGGATCTGCTAATGTAATTCTTGCTGGAGTTGAGGAAGCTGAAATCAAGAGCCTGCTCCTCAGGGTCTCAGCCCAGACAGGGAAGCTGGGGGTCCCTCTGCTCTGCCCTGGTGAGAGGAGCTGGAGGAGGCTGGGAAGCAGGGAGGGCCTTCCAATTTGGTCTTGGATTTTGTTTTCCTCCTTGGTTTGGGGCACAGTTGCTATTTCCACATACACTGGATG